CTCTTGTCCATCTCTCATGGTGCTGCCATTTGGCCATAGGTCAGTCTTTGTCTTCTTGAGGTTGAGCTTCAATCCATATTGAAGACTACAGTCCTTGACCTTCTGCAACAGAAGTTTCAAGTCTTCCTCATTCTCCACAAGCAAGGTTGTATCATCTGCGTAATGCACATTGTTGATGAGTCTTCCTCCAATCATAATGTCACGTTCCTCCTTGTAAAGTCCGGCCTCATGAGTGATCTGCTCAGCATATAGATTGAAAAGGTGTGGAGACAGGACGCATCCCTGACGCTCTTCTCCAGTGCTGCTTCCTTACGTGCTGATTTCTTAAGTACAGCTTCCATGGACATTGGTCTTGAACCCAAGTAAAATGAAATGTCCTAGCTGCAATTTTATCTCAGGTGATCATGATAGTCCTTCCTGGTCCAGTTGTGGAGATTTTCCTAGCTGTGATCCATTTGGGAATGATAGAGAATTGATGCCTTTGAGCTGGGGTGCTGGAGAAGAGTATTGAATACAGCATGGACTACCAGGAGAACAAACAGGTTTGTCTTGGAGAGGGTGAAACCAGGCAGCTCCTTGGAGCAAGGATTCTCAAGCTTCGTCTGACATAGTTTGAGCATGTTGCAAGGAGGGAGAGAGGCATCACACTTGGAAGTGTGGAGGGACAGTGCTAGAGAGGAAGACCCTGGGGTAATGAGGATAGGTGTGTCAGAGACAATAAGGTTGGCACAGGATAGAACAGATTTCAGGGCTATTGGACATAGGGTCACTATGAGCTCTAAGCAACTCAATGGCACAAAGCAACAGTCCATACTGAGGGCTGTAGTCTTTGATTTTCAGTAGTGTTTCCTACCTTCTTCACTTTAATCAAGCAAGGCTGTATCATCTGCTTATCTCAGGTGGTTAATTGAAATCTCCCTTTAATTCTGATGCCACCTCCTTCTTCCTATAGTCAATCTATTCAGATTATTTGCTCAGCATACAAACTGAATAAGTACAGTGATACAAATCAGGTGCCTTTCCTGGTTTTAAACCAGCAGGATCTCATATTTTTGTTTGAATAATTGGCATTTGGTTCTGTGTACAGTATGTCTCCTAATCTGACTGCTGGTTCCAAGGTTGTTGATTATTTGCTTTCTTCATATAAGATGTCCTTGATGTCATCCAATGACTAGTCTGATCTTTCATGTTCAATATTTATATATGTATTCTTTAATCATTGTTGCATATTTTCTTTTCCCTCTCCCAGCCCTCCCCACAATGCGCCCCTTGTTCTTGGTTGTTGTGATATAATGCCTAATCATATATTCCTTTCAGACAGTTCTTCCCCTCATTTGATCTAATGCAGTGTTCATTTATCTATCCGCTCTTTTCCCTTTCTCTCTACAACCCCGCTGCCCTATGTCTGTCCTATTTTATAACAATACTGTTATAAAATAGTGTTTGTCCCTTTGTGGCTGAGATAATTTCACTCAGCATAATATCCTCCAGGCTCACCCATGTTGTGAGATGTTTTACTATTTCCTTGTTTTCCAGTGCTGCATAATATTCCATTGTGCGACTGAATGTACCATAGTTTTTCTGTCCATTCGTTGGTTGATGAACACTTGGGTTGCTTCTGTTTCTTTGCTGTTGTGAATAATACAGCCATAAACATGGGTGTGCATATATCTGTTTGAGTCTTGGCTCTGGTTACTTTAGGGTATATTCCCAGTAATGGAACTGCTGGATCAAATGATACTTCTTTTTTTTATTTATTATTAATTTCAATGACAGTTTACAGAGACTTTGGATTTCCATTCATTCATTGTTGCACTTTTCTTCCCTCCCAACCTTCCCCCCAGTACACTGCCCTCTTGGAAAAGTAAAAGAAAAATTCTTTCATTGTTTTACAAACCCTCCCCCCAGGTCCACTCTACAATTCAGCCTTTGCTCTGGACTCCCGTCATGACAAAAATACCTAATCACATACCCTTTTAAACAGTTTTCTCCCTCATCTGTTTTAATGCAGCATACATTATTGAACCCATCTTTCTCAGTCTCCCCTCAACCCCGATGTCAGTCCTGTTT